TGGCCCCAGGTCAGAGAACAAGACACCCAGACCTACACCCCTGCCCCAGTCCCCCTAGCTGTAGTGTGTTCTCCTCAGGTCAGTAACCTGCCCAGAACACTGGATGAGATTTCAAGAGTAGTGAAAACACCCACTGAAAGATCTCAGCCTCAACGTAGGGAAGTGATCGATTCTGTGACATGCAAAAGTCAGGGTAGAGGTTCAAAATGACTTTGGAAAGATTTTTATCAATACGTTAAAAAAGGGCCCTCCCTGGTGGTGCAGCGGGTTAAAGCACAGCACTAAGAAGCTAAAGCTTCTTCAGCACGAGTTCGATACCCACCGCAGAGGTGTCCCACATGATGCGGCAGACCTCTCCTGACCCGCCTACTGCTCCCCTCAGCAGTGTACTTCCTCAATCTGCCTGTTCTGCTCCCCGCTCTGTCTCTGGTGAATCCTCTCACTGCCCCCGTACCTCTGGCCTGTACTGTATGCAAAAATAAATTTTAAAAATAAATAAATATTAAGAGAACGAAAAGATGCCAAAGTTGATCAAATAGGGGTGCCAATTAATCCTATAAGTGAAGATGGGAAGAGAGAATAGGAGGAAATGAGACAGGACACCAGGTCTTGAGAGCTCTAAGCTTGGACTTGCAGAAAAGAGGATGGGGGTAGCAATCTGCATAACACCCCAACTCTCAGCACCCCTCAGAGGTATCTGGGATTGCTGTGCTCCTTCAGGGACCAAGAGCCCCTCAGTAGGGTTTACAGACCTCCTTCCCGGCCAGGGGAAACGGACTGTCACTGGACAGTGCTCTGGCCTCCCTCCCCCTCAGGGCTGACTGGGAGAGGGGCTCTGGAGGCGCAGTCTGAGTCTGAACCCTAAAGCGGCATTTATGAGCCCTGAGACCTCAGACAAGTTACCAACCCCTCAATTTCCTCATCTGTAAAAATAAGGATAACATATAGTCCTCCTCAATTTACATGGGGTTAAGTCATTGGAAATAAAAGTCATAAATGCATTTAATACACCAAATCTACTGGAATACATAGCTTAGCGTGGCCTACCTTAAACGTGCTCACAATGCTTACATTAACCTACAGCTGGGCAAACTCATCTAATATGTCATATAATGTATTGAATACTGTACTGAAAATGAAGAATGCCCTAATTCAAAATCCAATGTATAGGTTTCTACTGAATGCATCATTCTAACCACAGTAAAGTCCAAAAATTGTTAAGTTCAACTATCATCTATCAAAAACTGCCTGTAGCATCCTCGCAGAATCATGGAGGATTAAATGACAATATTTAAAGCACAATGACAGCATATTTAAAGCACCACAAACAGAATATGATACAAGTAAGTTTTAGCTGCTGTTTACAGTTTTTGTCATTTAGATACTGGAATTCTAGAATTCTCCTGGGGGTGGGGCAAAGTTCTTCCTAAAACACTTGTCTTGGGTAGAACTTCTAAAGACTATACGCTTTCACTTAAAAAAATGAGCCAGTTAACCAACCCACTGGGAAGAACATGGTGCCATGTCCAGCTGGGGACACCTCAATTCGATTATGTCATGGAGCACACAGAGCAGAGCTCATATTTACTGAGAGCTTAGGATTTAGCAGATGCTCTGACAAATGCTTTACCTCTATACCCCAACTTACCCCTCATAATCACTCAGCAGCAAGGACACCATTAACATCACCCCAATTTTTCATATGAGGGAGGGACTGTAGCCCAGAGCCAAGACAAGCAGTCCAGGCAATATGATGTTGTCAGCGCCCACATTCAGGTCCCTGACACTATATATACATCACCCGTTGTCACTTTCAAATAGATGGTAAAAAGAAAAAAGACATCAAGTGCTTAGAATCTTCAGTGAAAACCACTGTTTTTAAGAATGGAGAGTGGAGATGACAATCTTGTGTGCTGTCAATGACCTCTGAGAATGGGTTGTGATGTAAAACACTGGTGATTCAGTCAGTGTCAAGAGTCCTCAGAGAATCCTGGAAAGTGAAGGCAGACACAAAAGCAGGAAAGTCTGAGAAGACACGATGAGCAGAACATGACTGACGCCTGGGAGTGGCTTCGTGGCCGGAGTGAGACAGACGCATCAACCTATCAGCACAGCTGAAAAACTTCCCAATAGTGCTGCCAGATAGGGGCTGAGGAGACCCATGAGGGGCAGGCCACTCTGAGGCCACCGGAAGATGTCCCACCATTCCTATCAGTGTCCATTTAAACACTCTGGACCCATGAAGAATGGGGGAGACAAGCATTCTTCAATCTCCTGGCTCCACTTTACTCACTTCCTTAAAGGGATAGAAAGCAGTCAGCCAGGAATTCAATTCCTCATCAAATCACAAAAGCTTGGGATTTTTGAGTTACAAGTGACTTTTTAGAGTATCAAAGTCCAAAGTCAAATAGAAGTGCAGACACTGGCGATCAGAGAGGGGAGGCTCAGCAACTCTTAACGGCAGGTTCCTCACATCCCTGCTCATGGCCCCCACTGCCACCCCCTTGGCTCACAGGCATCACCAGCTGTTCACCAGGCTCCAAATTTGGGGTCAAGGGTGTAAATGGGAGAATTCCCACCTCCCTCAGAGCCTCACCTCCATCATCTCGAAGATACTCTCTGGATCCAGGCTGCCTTTCCCCACTTTCCTCATGCATGTCATGACCCCTTTGCTGGTCACAGATACCAGCAAGCTGGCCAAGGAGCAGGCCTCTTCCTGGAGAGTAGCATCCACCACGTGCCGACAGCCAATCTGTGAAGCCAAGGAGCAAAGCACACATGTGGGTCACAGATTCCACTCTCGCAGACTTCATGGAGGGAGTATCTACACCAGTGAAGAACCACTACTGCCCATGCAGATCATATTTTAGATTCTGCTTATTTTAGATTTGAAGCGATGGCCAATAATTCTACCAGAGGCCACTGTATGAACAGAAGCATGGGATGAATGCTGTTGGGAGGTGAGGGGGTGCTAGAACTAAACTCAGAGACCATCTAAGTCAGAGGCCACAAAGGGCTTTTACTAGAGTGGCACAGGGGAAAATCCACAGGTGAGATCACCTGGATGTTTCACTGACAACAAAGATGAGTCAAAAGGGACATGCTGAAGACCATGCTTAAGAATGAGTCAAGTGCAGCTAGCTTTAAGCAGTCCCAATGTCCTTCTGTCTGAATAGGCACCATTCAGACAGGACCTTTTAGAGAGCTTAAATCGAGCCTGTTCAGTCTTATTTTGAGATAATGAACCCTGAATGATTGCCCAGTGGCAATCCCAGTTGACACAGGCCTCTCTGCACAATGGAGGCAGCACCAGTTGTCAGTGAGCTCAGCCAGATGTTAGGCTCTACAGACCTCTGTGGGAATGTAAAAGTCACACCTGACACATCAGACATCCAGGACCTGCTCCAACCTTCTCATGTCATGGATGAGGCCACTGGGGCCCACAGAAGCAGTAGGGTGGGCCTTTTAAACCATCCCATTATTATTCAGTCAGGGCAGACCCAAAGAGTAGAGAGAATTAAAGGAAAGATATACGGGGTTTCGGTGAAATGTCTAGTACATAGGAGATTAATCAAATCTGATTAGTTTTACTAGGTACTCACTTGTGCTCCAATTAACAAAAGAGCTGTTCAAACTATATACCAGAGACATTTTACGGGGGTGGAGTGGGGAATGGGATCAAAAACCTTGGCGAGAGGGAAATGCACTGGACTATGGTGATGGCACACAGGTGATTTGGTGATGGGAAACCCATGGGAATGACAACTGAGATGGGAAAAGACACAAAACGATGTAAAAATAAACTATTCTATTATTTAAAAATAAAAAAGAGCTCTTCATTGTAGTAGTTTCCAATATAACCAAACGATTAGAGTTAAAGCAACTTTTATATGGTTTGTGAAACTACACCGTTTCAATCTACTAATTAAGCTTAGCAGGTTGGGGTTGAAGATAACTTACAGAGAAGAAAAAACCATCAGACGTCCAACCCTTCAGACAAAAGCCAAGTGCATACCTTACACAGAGTGACGATGCAGGGGACATGCTCCACACTCAGCCGGATGCAGTCATAAGGGTCATCAGACAGCTCGATGTCCTTTGACCCCTCCTCATCCTCCAGAACACGAACTCTTGGTATCCTGGACACAGAAGCACAGTGAAAATTCCCACTTACTGAGAGGAAGAAAGATAACTAATTTTTCTTGAAACTGAGGAGGCAGAATTCCTCACAAGAATTCCTCATAAATATATCTCAGAAGATATATTTATGTTAAGACTGTTCAGATTGAACTTTATCATCCTTATCCCTGTCATCCCTGTCACTCCTGTCAAAAGCATAGTTGACACTGTAGTACAATAAGGGAAAGAGCCTTTTTAAAACTAATGGTCAGGGCCTTCCCTGGTGGTCAACAAGTTAAAGCACAGCACTATGAAGCTATCCGCAGCCACTGCAGCACGAGTTCGATCCCCGGCCAGGGAGGTGACCCACATGGCACAGCAGACCTCTCCTGTTTCTCCTGCTGCTCCCCTCAGCAGTGTACTTCTTCAATCTGCCTGTTCTGTTCCCCATTCTTCCTCTGGTGAATTCTCTCACTTCCCCTGCACCTCTGTGTGCATAAAGAAATAACTCTTTTTTAAAAAAAAGATGGTCAATCAGATATCCACATGGGAAAAAAAAGTCCCTCAGTCCCTATCTCAAACTACATACAAAATCCATAACAAGTGGACTAAAGGTGTTAGGTGACAGATAAAACAATAAACCTTTTAGAAGAAAAACTAAACATTTTTATAAACTTGGAACAGTCAAAGATTTCTTGAACAGGACACAAAAAATTCTTGCCACAAAGGGAAATATGACAATTATATTGAGATTAGAACTTCTGGTTGTCAAAAAACATCACTCAGAAATTAAGAAGATAATTCATGGTGGAGAAATATTTGCAAATGTGTGTCTGTATGTAAAATGACGTTACCTAAAAAATTCCTATCAAACATCAGAGAGAAGATAGGAGAACCCAACAGAAAAAATGGACAACAGACCAAGTGGGACTTCATCAAGCAAGCTAACAAACATACAAAATGGTGCTCTGCTTAAAAGTTCATCAGGAAAATGCAAATTAGAACTACTAATGTGTTACTGAGACACACTCAGCAAAACAGCTAACATTTGGTAGAGACGGTAAAAAACAACACGCCTATCCACACATCTGCCCAACCCTGAGGCACAGTATGGTTCAGCAGAAGGGCAAGAGACGATGCTGCGGACACCAGCCTCTGGCCTTCTCAAGGACCTTACCTGCTCCCACACACTAGGGGACAACGGATCGCAGAGACCCCACCCCTCGCTGCCAGAGGGCTGTGCCTGTTCTGGGGATGAGTCTGCCTCTGCCCACGACAGGTGGCTCCCCAACCTGAGCAGCTGGGCTTTACCTTCCTGGGGTACAGCTTGCCCAACACCTCCCCACAGCCAAACTGCCTCACTGGGTTCTACTCTTTCTGCCCTTGTGCCCAGGAAACCAGCTGGCACAAAGGGAATCACTTCGGAGGCTCAAAGTACAACAGATGGCAATCTCCTTTCCTCTGCAAAGAGCCCGAGCACAGGCTGTCGCTGCTGGCGGCATCTGGTCCTCGAGGCTCCACAGCGGCCCTGAGCGCCGGGCCGGGCCCACCTCTCCACGCCCTCAGCCAGGAGTCCAGTGGCACAGCCAGTTTTCCTTCTCAGCAAACATTCCATCCTGCAGTTTCTAGCCTACATTTCTTTGACTTTATTTTTGCTTGTCTTGTTTTAAATGACATCAACAGCCTAAATTTACCACAGAAACATTCTAAAATGCAGGAAAATGTTAAACTGCCCATAACATGAGCACTGAAAACTAATCACAATGGCTATGTGGAACATGTGTATTTTTTCCCCAGACATAATATATGAATTACCGTAAGTAAAATACAAAAACACAGCTGCCAAGACTGTATTTCATGACTGCTTTTCCGCACAACAAGCCCACAAGCATGCCGATTTCAGTCCCCTGTGTGCAGACTTTGTGCTGTTTCCAACTCCTCACCACTACAAGCTATGGTGACATCCAAGATACTATCTTTGCTCACTTATTCAGTTAATTGCTTAGAAGGGGCTGATCCTCAGTTTCTAATACCCCCAGGGTCCCCCACCATTACCATGATGTAAGCTCTCCATGAACACCCCCACCTACATATTCATTTTCAAATGCTGCAAACTTTCCTTGTTAGGGAGGCTGTGGGGGTTTGGGGGAGGTTACATAATCAAGAGGAACTGTCACCTTCAGAAAAGTCTAGTACATGTCCCCTGACACAGCCTATCTGCAAACCACAGTGGTACAACCACCTCCTGCTCTTACCTCAAACCAAAGAACAGACTGCTACGCTGCCTTCAGAACATACCGGCATCCAGTCAAGGAATGTGAGCACCAATGAGGCGCTGTGATGCTGGGGGACAGCAGGGCCCAAAGCCCGCCCCCATGGAGCTTCACCCAGTAACAGTATGTGGACAGTTGACTTGTAATTGGTGCCTAGACTTTGTATTTATGTTTTTGTTTTTTTCTACAAGATATATTTTTACTTATGAAAATTACTATTATAAATAGAGACAGAATATGTGTATGTATTTAGTTTTTACTTATGAAATCTGTCTTTCTGGAGTTTAACATTAAATGAAACATTTTCAATGTTAACATCCCTTGGTCACTTCATCTATAACCTTCAGTAGAAATTTCCACCATGTTCCATTATAAGTGTCTGGCTGGGTTCTCCACAGGCCCATGGGGCTTTCAGAAGACTGACCTTGTATTGAAGAGAGCAGCCTTTACAGCAATGGAGATGGCATCAAACAAATTTCCGCCACATTCCAGCAGCTAGGGACAAAAAATAAAAGGGATGAGAAAAAGTAAGCACAATTATTCTAATTACAGGACTCTGGTTCCTAAGAAATGCTGACCAAGTGTCTATAAAGATGAGGTGTGTGGCTGCTGTCCTGGCTCTCTGATACCACGTGTCCACCCCAATGGCAAGTGCTGCCTTGCCACGGCTGTGCCTACACAGAACACATGTGCAAGGTCACAGCTGCCCTGGCGTGGCACCACCTCTGAGGCTTCAGCTTGCAGATGTCCTGCACTCAAGGAGGAACTGATGACCTTATTTTGCCACAGACAACTCCCCAGGGCACTGCAATTGTCACTCTCACCTTGGCTGACCTATGCCCAGCCTCCAAACAAGTGAAAAAAGGTGACCACCAATGCTGTGGCTACTACAGGTTCAGGCTTATTAATGTGTGCAATTTCCACTGTACACCTGATGCTCAAACTCAGGGTTTGCATTAGGTGTGAGAAACATTAAGGTCTCTCCTATAAGTTTTTGCCCACGAACAGAAGTGCTCACTGCACTTACAAGGCTCATCCAGCAGGGACGGTCAGAACACATTACTAAGTGGAGGCAACACCTCCTTCTGTCCTCACTTCGGAAGTGTTGGCCTGAGCTTAGAGAAGCCAACGGGGCTGCTCCAAAAAGAGGAGAGGAAGTCACCTTGGAGGGAGAAAACCTCGCTATTCTTACAGCCTCTCTCCTCTTCATCTAAACTGAACTGAGGGCTAGAAGCTGTCCATTTTGTTCGTTCCCTGAAATCTCTGCAGCCAGGAGATGGGCTATCATGAAGGAGGAGCCCAGTGACTATTTACAAAAGATAGGCAGGCCTTAGCCTCGGCCTTCAACTAATGTGCATTCATTGTAAATCTTCAGATTTAGTTTAGAACATATGTTTGATAGTATGCCAGAGCTATGTCAGAACCTTTAAAAATGACCATTGTCCTAAAAAGCAGGAAAATTAAGTAAGAAAGAGTCTTGGCTGAAGTACAGCACACACATTGTCCCCCCCCTAGTCTTACCTAATCACTGCTTATTAAAAGATGCCCCCTACCCCAAACCTGCATTACCACTGCCTTTGGGCCACGGCTCATCCACCTGCACCTGACCAGCTCCTCTCCACTCTGGCTCGGACAGCCTGCTACAAAACAAACGGCTCTGGCCAGACTCCAAGTCAGACTGCCTGGACTGACTCTTGTCTTCACAGTTAGCTGCATGACCTGAGTAACTCAGGTGAGGTGGAGGATAAAATCACAGCTACTGCACAGAGATGTTATGAAGGCTGAACAAGTTAGTATTTGTAAAGCTCTCAGAAGAGTCTAGCACAGAGTAAGTGTTAGCTAAGTGTTTGGACATGAACAATGATCTCCATTTCCCACTGTTGTCCTCAAAGACTTCCTGAGGAAGGTGTGCGACAAAGTCTCCACTTTGCCAGTGAGGCACCCTGTCTGCAGCTTATTAAAAATGTACTGGCTATTACTATAAAAACTATGTAAGTGCTAATATACATTATTTGCATTTAACTTAAAAAATTATCATAGGGGACCATCTTTTTGCAACTACTCTCGTGCTGGAAGCTGACAGCGTTCACCTGATGAGCGCAAAAACAGTAGGGGAAGGAGGCGAACTGGGTCCAACACAAGCAGTGTGACCAACACAGCAACATGACACTCACCAGCACGTCTACATAGAGAACCCAGCAGTGCTCACGAGGATGGATGCAGAGGGACTTCAGGTCGATGCTGCTCTTATTGCTAAATATCCGGTACAGTGTGTTAGCAATCTCTGTGCCGAGCTCATCACCTCCTCGACCTTCAAATTCAGGGGTAGCATTGGCTGAACTATATCGAACAGCAACAGAAAAGGAGAGTAAATCTTTTCAAATGCAAAGAGCAAAGGGGCATACTTAGTTCCAATTTCCCTGTGGAATGAAGAAGCAAAGGCAAACCCCACTCTTCCAGTCCACACACACACACACAGTGAGACCATGCATGCCCTGGGCTTTTCAAAGTCTGTTGGAGTTCCCACTGACTTCTAATGGCAGCCATATTTATGGAACGAGAAACAAAATATGCAGTGGTAAAGTGAACCTCAGCCAATACCACACTCTTATCTTGAGAGTATAATAAACACTCTTCTCTAGCAGGGTCAGGATGCAGGGAGGCCTAGAGAATCAGTCTGGCTTACAGTTGTTACATTATGTACATCAGGCCTAGTTTCTCAAGCTTCAGAATGCACAATGATACTTTCAAAACAAAAGTCACATGATACTTACAGTAACTTTCCCGGAATAATTTAGAAGATATGTATGTTAGTATGCCAGAGTTCCTTCAGAACCTAAGTTATCATTGTCCTAAAAAGTGGGAAAATTAAATAAGAAAGACTGCTGGCTGATTAAATATTAAGTTATTCTTTTTACTTTATTTGCTACTTTTCCAGAGAATAAAACTTCTTTTGTGGCCTCTTGATATGATTATGCCAAATTACTCCAAGAAAGACTGGATAGGCACCAGTAATTGCCACCTGAAGCACTACTCACAAGTGCTTAACAGGAATTTGAGGGTTATGCCCACAAATAAGGAAATAATCCAATAATCACTTTATTCAAATGAATAAGGCCCAGAAAGGTCACAAACCAGTTTCTTTTAAGTATCGTCTCTACAGTCACTGCCCACTCTTTCTGTCCCTGCCCATCTGTCCATCCACTGGCCATCAGGACAGTGTGCTGCCGCACGCTCAACTGGGAAACAGAGAAGACACAGACAGATGCCAACCCAAGTCAGCAATACCAATGAAGGGTCATGATGTGGAGCACAGACCAGGTGTGGAGGAGGGAGAGGCAGCTTCAATCAGTGTTTGTTAAGGAGACCACAAACCTGAAGATAGTTTGGTCAGGCAGGAATTAGTCAGGCAGCTTTACAAGCAGGCTATTCCAGGCAAAGCAAACCCTGCTTGAAAGCCCAAGGCTGAGCCCTCCCTGGTGGCGCAGCGGGTTAAAGCACTGCACTAAGAAGCTTAAGCCACTTCCGCATGAGTTCGAACCCCACCTGCTCCGGAGGTGACCACATGGCGTGGCAGACCTCTCCTGACCCGCCCGCTGCTCCCCTCAGCAGTGTACTTCGTGGATCTGCCTTTTCTGCTCCCCACTCTGTCTCTGGTGAGTCCTCTCACCACCCCTGGCCTGTATCCCAATTCTGTGTGCATAATAAATAAATCTTAAAAAAAAAAAAAAGGAATAAATCCTAAAACAATCAGATTTTGTGGTCATTTAGTAACTTTGTGTCTCCAATTATAGTCTCCCCTTACCACTATGAGCCAGCAGAACTGCAATTTTAAATTCCCGAGAGAAACTTCATTATTGCTATAGCAATCTCAATGTTCCCTTATTGCCTCTGCTGAACTCAGGCACTGAGCCATGAAAAGCAGCTCATTTATGGTGAAATAATCAAGTCACCAGAGACCAAGTTTATTCTGCACAGACAGCAAAACACAACCTATTTCTAAATTAAATGCTAAACTATCAATATTATATCCCAAGACATTCCTATCTAGATGTAGACAAATCCAGTCGGAGATGCCTATGCTTTAGATGTCTACCTTTCCCTGATTACTGTGGGTACATTCCCCTGGATGTGACTAAATACTGGGGACTTTAACTAACTCTTCTACAGACCTGGGAGATGGCTTGTAGAACTTTCCTGGTCCAAAGGGCTAAATTAAACTAGTTAAAAAAAAAAATCATGCTTTATTGGTTCTTTTTGCTACTGAGCTAATTAAATTTTTTTTTAATTTTAAATCTTGTTGATTTACCTGAGCTAATTTAAAATGGAAATTTTACCCAATTTGTTTGTTTTTATTCACATTTTTCTTTTTTTAATTTTTTAAAAAGATTTATTTATTTATGCATACAAGAACTGGGGTACAAGCCAGAGAGGTATGGTGATGAGAGAATTCACCAGAGCCAGAGTGGGGAGCAGAACACACAGATTGAGTGAAATACACAGTGAAGGAGAGCCGCAGGTGAGACAGGAGAGTTCTGCTGTGCCATGTGGGTCACCTCCCTGGCCGGGATCGAACTCGTGCTGCCGTGGCTGTGGATAGCTTCCTAGTGCTGCGTTTTAATGCCTTATGCCACCAGGGAAAACTACTTTATTTTTAGAGGAAGGTTTAGAAAATTTTGAGTCCATGGAAAGCTGCTATGTGTAGATGGTGCTCTGGCCATGGAGTGACTCAGGAGAGCAGGCCAGGAGAAAGGAAACTGGTTAGGATGCAGGATGGCGTGTAGGGTTTGGGGTAACATAAGCAAAACTGGACACCTTGTATTCTGCCAAAGGAGGAAGAAAAGGGCTAGTATAGTGAAATGATGGTCCCACCTCATCATCAGGGGCACTCACAGCACAATGACATCTTCTGACAGAGCAAGACAGAAATGTAGACCTGAAAACCATCTCTAGAGAACAAAAATGCCAAATGCCTACAGAGGCCAGACAGGTACACGGCTATAAAAAAAATGGTCACACAGAATTAACAGGAAAACTCCAACCTTACCTAAAGGTATTTTTTTTTTTTAAAGATTTATTTATTTAAACACACAGTACTGGGCACAGGCCAGAGGTGCAGGGGGTGGCGAAAGGATTTGCCAGAGACAGAGTGGGGAGCAGAACAGGCAGATCGACGAAGTATACTACTTAGGGGAGCATTGGGCGGGTCAGGAGAGGTCTGCCACGCCATGTGGGTCACCTCCAGGGCAGATGGGGGTCGAACTCATGCTGAACTGGCTTTAGCCTCTTAGTGCTGTGCTTTCACCTGCTGCACCACCAGGGAGGGCCCACCTAAAGGTATTTTTAACTCACCTTTAAAGCAAACAGAAAGTCTGTGAGTTACCTAAACTCTCAGTTGGGATCTCACCAGCACAATGGTACTGTGAGACTTCAGATGATCTGACTCTCTCATTACATGAAGGAACTTTAACAACAATTTTGAATGTTGACAGCATTTTCTGACTATTGTAGACCCCACTTTTAGCACTGTAGCTGCACTACCTCAATTATTTCTCACCACAACCCCATCTTAAGAGATAAGAAGAAAGTCACAGAAATATTGTTCTATCTGTCCAAGGTCAGGCAGCTAGTGATAGGGAGCTAAATTCAGCCCAGACAGCCAGGCCCTTACCCGCCAGGCTTCTCTGACACTCCCTCTGAATGCACCGTCGGGCACACTTGGCCTGGTGCCTAACCACAGTCAGACTGGCTTTCCTGGGCGCTGTCTTATGCTGCAAAGTAATGAATGGGTGGTCTGGTCTTGGGAACTATTACTAGACCATGAAAGTTGGGAGTCAAAGAATGCACGCCCAGGGAGTCCTAAATAAAGAGCTTTGCCAATAAGTACAAAGTTTAAAAAGAGAGAGGACACAGGTGGTAATCCTGGCCTCTGCTCACACGCATCACAGCGTATTCTTTCAGCAGGGAGTATATCCGCCCTCTGTCACAAGACCAAGGGCTTTCCATGTTTACAGCCACCAAGATCAATTCAGATCTTTAATAAAACATGACCCAGTCCCTCTTCCAGAGCTCTTGGGAAAGTGCTCACGGAACTAGATTAATAAAAATCCTGGGAACGCTGCCCCTCCCAGTTCCCCACCCTCCTGACTCACCACCTCTACTCCACTCCTCCAGCTTGGCACAGCTCTGGCTTAATTAGGGTAGGTTGAGTCAAGGCCATGACTACCTAGAATGGGACTTCTGACACTGAACTCCTTGTTTCCCTTGCAATCAGCTGAGCCTGAAAACCTGTGGTATCTTATAGACCTGTGAGTCCAGGCCCAACACAGAAAAAATACTTTAGTGAGTACCTGGGGCAACAGTTACTCCAGACCTTGTACTTCCGTCAATCATTTAGTGCCCCAAGGCAGGTCCTCATTCCTATGAGTACAATTGTGCTCATTTCGAAGTGAGTATGAGATTAGAAGCACACTTCAAGCATTTCATTGCAAGTCCTTGTTTGAAGTTTCTGGGGAATTATCTCATCAGTCTGGACTTTGAGAACACAGCTAGTCTCACACAACTCCAGCAGGTATCCCTCTGTTTCCACCCCCAGCCCTTCAGCACTCCCTTCAACAGTACTAATAGGCAAGCAAAGAAATGACCAAGTAGCTCCACCCATAACTCAGGGCTCAAAATTACTGAAAATAAGTGAACACACAGAAAAGGAGTCAAGATCCCAGAGGGAAGTAATAAGCGAGGTACAGACAGAAACATCTCTGAATTAAACAGTCTCAACTCCCCCAGTTAAAAAAGGAAGCCTCTCTGAGAAGCTAACCCACCGTCCTAAACCCATCAGGATGTGATCAGGGAGCAGCTTGAAGGACTGCCACCCAATGGCAGCCCAGAGTAAAACACTAGTTTGGTAAATTCTTACCTACCTTTGGGTTGCCGATGCAAATCATCTTTTCCCAAATTTTCAAGGTTCTTATTTAAAATTACCTATTCTCAGGTTACAAGTAACAAAACAGGGCTCTCCCTAGTGGTGCAACGGGTTAAAGCACCACATTATGAAGCTCTCCGAAGCCACTGCAGCACCAATTCGCTCCCCCACCAGGGAGCTGACCCACATGGCCTGACAAAACTCTCCGGACCCACCCGCTGCTCCCCTCAGCAGTGTATTTCAGTATACCTGCCTGTTCTGCTCCCCACTCTGTCTCTGGTGAATTTTCTCACCTACCACACCTCTGGCCTGTACCCCAATTCTGTAAGCATAAATAAATAAATCAAAAAAAAAAAAGTAACAAAGCAAAGTGATTCTCCCAATTTAGTTTGCTCCCAATTTAGTGACAGGCTGCCAGACATCTCTGGAGCAGAGTTCAAGAACCCTAGTATTTACTATTCCATGAGTATGAGGGTGAGGGTCATTATAGCTGTCCTTTCCAAAGGACATCATTCCCAAGATACACTGAAAATTTTGGGATGGGAGCCAATGCCCATGTGTTATCATTTCATGTTGCCAAAACCAAAACAAAATAAGCTAGTAGAAAAGCAACTAGTGCTCCGAGCTCCCTGACTGCTGGCACACAGGTGTGTAAAAGCCATTCTCATCACTAGATCGGGGAAAAGGTGCATGTTTGCCAATGATGAAGGGATGCTCCCAGGAAAACCCAAATGAGGTTCTGATTAAGCTGACAGGCAGCAATCTTGGTAATCCCTTCCCTGTAGGAAATGGGGTTTATGACTCTTTAGGGCAGCCAGACTCCACCTGCTCAAAGGCTCCTCCCCGCCGGAGCTGAGACAAGGGAAGGCCAAGAGCAGCAGGCTAGTCTGGAGTCGTGTCCAAACACACAGCTGCAACAAGCAGGCCCTCTACCATGCATCTGAGGGCAACACCCTCTCTTTGGTGTGGTTGGATGATTGCCTTGGATCTTCCTAACATGAATGAGGTAGAAAATAATGAAGAAGAAGAAAAAGAAAGCAAATTATAGTTCTTCACACATGGTATCTGTTCATCTGTAATGCTTACTGCACTGAACTAGGGAGATCAAGGCCAAGAGAGACATTTTTCTCCCACCAAAAGCAAACACAGGGAGAAGCTGGAGGTATGAACAAGGGCAGGCATCCACAGTAACTTAAATGATGAGCCAGTTCCAGTGACAAGCTCAGGCTGGCGAGAGCAGCTGGGCAGAACAGGAGACTGCCTGAGAGGCTGGGGCCAGCCGAAGGGACAAATTGGGAGGAAGCTGTTCAGAAAGACAAACATCGCTATGTTTGTCTAGGGACCTCTAAAGACAACATCTTCCTGAAGCTGAACTCTGCAGACTACACGAACAGAGAGCAGAGCCTCGGAGTAATACAGGCCCCAAGCTAGCATTACTAGCCATGTGGTGCTGGAAGGCCACTTAGTGTCTCTGCACCCCTCTCTCCTGTCGCGCACACGAGTGCTGACAAGTGCTGTGTGTGGAAGCGTGAAGGGGAAGACCATGGCTTGCTATCCAAGCTTGGGGTGGCCATCTGTACAGAGCAGGGCTGACAGACCCAAGGCAGCTGCTATCTGCAGCAGGGACTGCTCGCAGCAGGGGCCCTCAGCTGGCATCTGAGAAAGTGGCTCTCAGCATGTCCTGTGATCCACTGTGCCAGGACTGTTGCTGCAAATCATATGCTTTATGATGAATACTTTCTTACTTTCTAGGAGTCTGGAATCTTAGTATATAGTTAGCAGAGAGTGCCTATGTGACCAGACTATAAAAATGTTGAGTGCTCGGCCCTCCCTGGTGGCGCAGCGGGTTAAAGCACTGCACTGAGAAGCTAAAGCCACTTCCGCATGAGTTCGATTCCCGCCTGCCCCGGAGGAGACCACATGGCGTGGCAGACCTCTCCTGACCCGCCCGCTGCTCCCCTCAGCAGTGTACTTTGTTGATCTGCCTGTTCTGTTCTCCACTCTGTCTCTGGTGAAGCCTCTTGCCGCCCCTGAGCCTCTGGCCTGTACCCCAGTTCTGTATGCACAAATAAATAAATCTTAAAAAAAAAAAAAAAAATGTTGAGTGCTGAGTTTCTAGTGGGTTTTCTTCGGCAGTAACAATCAACACTTCACTGCATTTTCACTGCTATTAGTAAAGCTTAGCCATGAGTACATGTTAAGTCCTGTGAGTCCTTCCAGCAAATCTCCAAATACAGAGGTGGTCTTGGGGATGTCTGATCTATATCAGTATTATAAACCTGCACCTAGCATGGGCTAATAGTGATCCTTACACACCTGTAAAAGGCTGCGACATATAACTGAAACTAGGGCTAGGTGAAACTAGATAAGCAACCCTATAAAAAGCCCCTAGTCCGGGCCCTCCCTAGTGGTTAAAGCACAGCACTAAGAAGCTAAAGCCACTTCCGCATGAGTTCGATTCCTGCCTGCCCCGGAGGTGACCATATGGCGCGGCAGACCTCTCCTGGCCCACCCACTGCTCCCTCAGCAGTGTACTTCGTTGATTGGCCTTTCTACTCCCCACCCTGTCTTGGGTGAAGCCTCTCACCACCCCCGCACCTCTGGCCTGTACCCCAGTTCTGTATACATAAAGAAATAAATCTTTAAAAAAAAAAAAAAAGCCTTCAGCCCTAGGAGGGGGAGGTAACAAGAAGATGAATAACATTTATTAACAGCCCACTGGGTGTAGTAATTGTGCTAAGTGCTCACCCTTCATTATTTCACTTCCTCATCATCACTACAGTGTTATTATGATTCCCTCGTTCGCAGATAAAGAATGGCAGGCAATGAGACACAAGTAACTAGCCTGAGGTCACACACTGCCCAAGAAGGAAGCCAGCAGCAAGGCTGGCTGGCAGCCGAGACCGCAGAGTCCCTGCCCTCGCCAGCATCCACACTGCCTGCTCAGCTGCCTGTCAGGGTCCTTTGCTGGCTTTAGTTCTTGTGCTGCCAAGCAAGTCATGAGACATTTTCTGCAAAGTTAAAGCAGGAAGAGAAACAGGACATTTTAGGTCAAAGGCTGCTCACCTATGTCTGCTACATTTCAAAGCCTGGTACACAGGCTTTCATTTGACTGCACAACCGTGAGCTGGGCTATGGCTGGGCTGTGGCAGACACCCTCCTTTTGTAGAGAGGGGAAATGAAGCCCAGCAGGGCCAAGGGATTAGGATAAGGGCGGGACTCCAGCCAAGAATCCCACATATCCTAGGGTGTGGCACACAGGATGTGCTCAGTAAATACCTATGGCTAGTTGAATGATTATAGAATAAAGGTGAGCTCAATAAGAAACCAGTAAATCATTTTTCTTTAAAAACATCTGTATGACACTGACCAGTCGACAAAGAACTCCAAGTAGCCTTCATTTGGCTTCTCCAGTTTCGGCGTCCCCATTTCTGCTTTCACTCCCACCAAGATGTCTGTGTGGCCCTGCAGACAGGCAAGAAGGGTCCTTGCTCAGGGCAGGCAGCCAGGCACCCATCATCTCCCTTCTTTCCCAATCATACACTCCCGGGCATTCTCCCAGGCTCAGGGCTGGGGCTTGGAAAGTGGTCCTGGAGAACTGAGGGGTCCTTCAGAGCTTGACAGACTCCCTCCCTGAGTTTGGCATGGGTCTTTGCTTTTCCCAGGAACAACTTGCGTTCCAAAGCCTGGAGGAGGTGGTTCTCAGACCCTCCCATCCTCTACCTGGGCACGGGCTGTGGCCACACTACTCACCAGTTTGACCCTGGCAGACCCACTGGTGTTGGACACCACGTCGGTCTCCACTTCAACACACCGGTAGTCCTCGCAGCCACGGCCATCCACACGGAGGTCTTCCTAAATGCAGCAAGCAGACTTAGAGAACATAAACTGACCACTCCTTCCCCCGAGAATGTGCAGTACATGATCTCCCTTTCTTATAGTGAATCATCAAAATCTTGTCCTTATAGCAAATAACGGTCTTACTATTTTACATGTGAGGAAAGAGAAACTCAGAAGTTAAGCAATTCACCCAAGACCATACAGCTACAAAGTAGTTTCCATCCCAAGTCTGCCCAACTGCAAAGTCCATACTACACACCACTGGACACGACAGGCACAAAAACACAAAATTTGAAACCACAAAACTGCAATTCTAAAATTGTACCAAAAGGTTTTACGGGCCTCCCTGTGACACATGGGTTAAATCTCAGTGCTATCTAGCTATCACCAGCCACTGCCACATGAGTTCGAGCCCCGGCCTGGGAGGTGACCCACATGGCACAGCAGACCTCTCCTGTCCCACAAGCTGCTCCCCTCAACAGTGTGTTTATTCAATCTCCCTGCTCTGCTCCCCACTCTGTCTCTGGTGAATCCTCACTCCCCACACCTCTAGCCTATACCCCTGTTCTTGAATGCATAAATAAATAACTCTTTTCAAAAAAAAAGTTTGTGTTGTCGGAGCTACAAAGTAAAAGTGTCTTCCCAAGCCCTCCAGCTCCCCAAACTCAACAAGACTTACTCTGTCAACAGCTCAAAACAACTAGCTGAATGTCCTAAGCAAGCCACCTCTAGGACGTGGCTGATACACTCAGGCCTGCAGGACCACCTGTTTTTGTAAATCATCACCATGCCCATTTGTTTGGGTCAGCGATGGCCGACTGCACCAGCAGTCAGTGGCTGTGATGGAGACCATGTGACCTGCAAGCGCCAAGCCCTCACCTTCTAGCCACTCACATTAAGAAGCTTGCTAACCCCTGCTGCAAACGATGCATTTTAAGGTTTATATACTACTTGTCCCCTCTCTCCATCTATTTCCTTCTTGTATTACTCAGAGGTCTAGTTTAGGCCGTGGTTATTTATAATCCAATCCGCCATTACTTATCTTGTTGCTCCAAGTGTTCAGATTTGGGCACTGGGAGCTCCTCAGGGTTGGCTACTGCGTTCCAACATGCCTCCAATTCTTTCCAAGCACTTCTTTACTTTGTGGCAATATAAGATAAAACAGCCTCTTGTGTGTAACTTGCCTCTGCCCTGGGATCAGTCCTTTCTCCAAGGTTTCCTGGTTCTTTTTATTGGACAATGGTATCTAAAAACCATGACTGGGTACTTAGTAGGTTCATCACTACTGGGGTGTCACTGCTACTAGACCTAAGCAGACAGAATTAGAAAATATGTGTCTACCAACCCAGGCATGTGTTCACATGCACACACGGTTATTTCTGCCATCCATTCATGAATCTGTTAAAGTACATGTGTGCTCATACCATAGCTGGATTCCAATTTAACACCTTCCTCCTTGTCTTAGCTGTAAATTCTTCCTCAGTGGGTGAGAAATCTGGCTCTCCAATTTATCTCATCTAAACATATGTTTCTGTTCAATGTCTTAATATACATATACAAAAAGTACTTTCAGAATTGCTAACACATGCCTCCGTGAGAAAAACTTACAAATATCAATAGAACACCATATTTGTGCAGGGCTCCTATGTCTCTGACACAGATTCCCCAGTCAAATACTACTTTCCAGTCACCTCACCCAAGCCTACTCATTTGTACCCCTTTCAGGTTCACTGTTTATGTTGCAAGTTATCCTCCACATTCTGGCTACCTTTTTGTAACTTATTTACTTTCCGGGTATACAGTCCCCCATCTTCATTTCTAAAAAAAGTAAAGGCCATCAGAAAAGCTGCGCTCAGGAACTGGCACTTCCTCTCTCCCTATTTCCACAACCGCTGCTTTCTACCCCTCTCCCTCCCACCAAGGCACAATATGAGCAGGCTCTTTAGTTTCTGCTTCCTCTTTCTTGTCTTTTCTTTACACAAAAGAGCAGGCACATGTGTATTTTTTCTAGCCCCTTCTTTCTTATGAGAGGTGATATAACGCATATACTTTATATAATAAGCATAAAATCAATATAAGCATGAAATCAATCCAATCCACCTAGGCATACAGATCCTCTTCATTCTTTTTTTAATTTTTTAAAAGATTATTTGTGCATAAAAGAACTGGGGTACAAGCCAGAGGTGCAGGGGGTGAGAGGATTCACCAGAGAGAGAGAG